AAGGGGAATAGTAGAAAAAAAACTTTATGTGGTAAATATCCACATTAAAAAAATAAATATAATTATCTCAGGTGGCTGGACTAATGACCTGCTGCTCCATACAGAGAGCACTTAAAACTTATCAAAATACATTTTAAAAAAAGAAAAAACGGGTTTTCTGAGATATTCTTAATGTTGGTCTTCTGGTTTTTGGCATTTTATTGACTTATTTGTCTGTTTATGTTTGCTGTTCAAGTATTTTAGGTTTGACTGGTCTGTAATACTTCTTTTCTTGCTGGTGTTTGTTGAATATCTGCTCACCATGACGCTTCTCACTATGCAAACTAAAATCCAGGGCTTCAGAATGGAGAAATATTTAAAGACGTGTATTTTTGTTGATTCAGATGCAGTTTGAAATTCATATCGCCTAAACGATCACAGCAAGGTTTGTGTGTCCACTGTCCTCTGGTGGCTATCAGTGGAACTGCAGTGTAATTTAATCTAGCTCATTCCTTGGGTTAAAAGCAATAATTTAGTTTTTGTTAGTGGTTCGATCTATGCTTTATTTTGGTGCTGAAACCAAAGATCTGCTGGCATTTTTTCTAGTTCTGCAGAAAAAGAGAGAGTGGATGAGTTGTAGCCAATGTTGGGTTTGAAGAGAAGATTCTTCCCAACTCTTTTGAAAAGCCATGAGAAAGACTCTACTTAGTTTTTCAGAGCCAAGGTGCTCTGAGATAAATGCCTGACCAAAAACAAAATGACAAAGTCTGGATCAGTGGGTTGATTCTGGTAAAACATGCAGCTTTTATCAGTCTTCCTATGCTCTCATTTATGTTCTTAAAACAAATAAGTGTGGCAAAATGTTGGGATTACTGAGACAATATACACCCCTTCTGTGTATTTATTTATTTATTGCTATTTATTATGCCCGTCTTAAGACCACATCCATCCTGAACCCTGATCAGAGCCCAGTCTTTGTCAAAAACCCTTGAGAACCCGCACTGATGATTTTTGCTCAACAACCCCCATATCCTCAAACGCCTCGTTTTTTTTTAAAGGCTGGTTGTCTTTTTTTTTTTTTTTTTTAAGCCATTCTTCCTCAAACGCATCGTTTGCACATTTAACCCACCGGGTTCTGCAGTAAACCGGCACATTCCTCACCTTCAGAAGGTAACACAATGGACCAGAGCAAAGAGATCGGAGCTGGGCGGCGGGGGTTAAAAACTCCTGGAACTTGAACACAGATTAATTTTCCTGTCAGTGTGGACAATATGCATCAAGCACATTGCAGTTCTTGTAGTTTGGCTGTGACTAAAAGGGGCCATTACCTTTTTACGTTTATTCCTCTCTGACCAAAACCTTCATGCGTTCCATGGCTGTCCGGCCTCATGTTGTGCAAACATTAATGGCTTTTTTTCTGCTGTTATTCTCAATAAAATTCATCATGTAGCATATGTGCTCTTCTGGCCTTGGGTGCACTATACCCTGTCTTTGCTGTTTTGGAACTCCCTGTTTCCATTTTATTTGCACTATGAGATTCAAGAGCTTCAAGCTTTTTGACCAACTTTCAACATCTTATCCTTTAACTCTCTCTTCACTATTTAAAATTCTGATTAAGTGGACGGTACTTCTGTAAAGCCCTCATACATACTTCATGACATTAGTGGAGATATATACATACAAATATATAGATATAGATATATTTTGGGATGAAGTTGCCTTAGGGTTTTTTTGTGCTGCAACTATTCTCAGGAAATCTTGAGCAATGCACTAAGTGATTATATACAAAATGTCAAATGGGAAGCAGGCGGTGCTGTAGGAGATTGATACTCTTCATGCAAGTGGGAATCCAGTAGTTTGATTTTTTTTTTTTTTTTTTTTGTATATTTTGTAATGAAGGAAATCTTATGTACAGATAAAGGTAATGAAAGTAAACTCCTGGCCTTGCTGGAACCTGTCCTACTGGAATGGCAGTATGACGGTTGGTCCTGTGCATGAAGGGTGTTGGTGCTCCCAATGAAAAGCTTTGTGAATGAATGACGGTTAAACTGATGTCAGCTGTGAAGTGTGTGTTTATATGTGAGCTGTTTGGGTTTTTTTCTTTTTTTTTTTCCTGGCTTCGGTGTGGGGACTTTAAGGGGTACAGTCTAAATAGACCCCGCTATCAGGGATGCATTTTTTTTTCTTTCAGTTTTTAGAGGACTCCTTCTCAGAGATGCAAATTCATTTCCCCATGATTTGTTTCAGATGATGTAAAGAAAATAAAGTTATCTAAGCTTGACTTTTTGTGTGTGGTTTTCGTCTTACTCCTCAAAAGTATAACATCAGTCAGGTTTGCGCCCTCTGGTGAGAAAACTTTGCAACTGTTTAACATGTTTTTATTACTATAAAACATGCCACAAAATGATTATTGTAAACTTACTCATTTTCAGATGAGATCATATTAAAAGCACATTGACTTTTTTTCAGCTCAGCTTCCTTTGATTTCACACAGTCACTTGCTAAATGAAAGTTGTTTCTAGATGTTAATAAAAAATCATTTGCATAAGTGCAGCAGTTCACACATACTCTGTTCACCTCACCACTATTACAGATCTGATGCAATTAGGAACTCAAATGTCAGTTATTCCCCAATAACATTTCAGAATTTCACTATGCTAAGCTCACCTCCAGTTGCTGGATGCTTGAGAGTGAAAATCAGGCATCACCTACTGTCTGATTAATTTGACTAATTATCTGATCATTTGAGGGAACTTTTTGGCTGGAACTGTATTCCCAGGCAACCTATTTTGTTTTTATTAACATCAAAAAAATAAAATGCATCCAGTTAAGATGCAGCTGAACACATCGCTGATCCCAATATACAGTCTCTATTTAAAACGGGAGCACATGAAAAGGAGCCCACACTGTAAAGATGTCCCTTCACAAAATCTTCAGAGTTGGGCCGATATTATAGTTGAAACCAGGGGCCTCGTGCATTAAAGAAATGCGCAGTTTGGACACTAAAACTTGGCACACAGAAAAATGTATAAAAGATGCATAAAACCGCACGCACGTGACCACGCAGGTAACTATAAGCCCTAATTTGCGGGAGATCGAGCTGCTGCTCCGCCCTGTTGCCACTCATAAATACATATGTAAATTAGTTTAAATACCCGGAAGTTTGCCACCACGTGAGGCAATAACCATGGCAACGTCCTTGTTCGAAGCAGTATAAGTATCGATAATATTAATAATTATATATTTTTATTTAAAAGGTGCTTTGAGGACACATAATGTCACCTCACCAAAATAAAAATACATTATAAAGAAAAAAATAACATAAAAAATTAAAATACTGCAGCTGGACCGGTACGGTACCGGTACCGCACGGCTCTTTAAGTTTTGCTCAGAGCTCCAGGATGATCAGTCTGATCGATCAATTTGGACGCTCATAAAGATTTCCCAGCAGATCGATATGACCTTTGACCCTCTGAAACCTTGATCACTTTAAAAATAATCAAACCTGATGATTATTTTTAACCAGCAGGTTTGAGTTAATTTGCTGATCCAACCCTGAGAATGAAATGACCCTACAGATGCATTTCATGCGCTTCGGCGCACGGACCAATGCGTCACATCTTCATTTCCGTTCAGCGAGGTTTTCACACTTTTATTTTTATTTTCTTTATTTACAAAAAAAATAGCTTATTGTCTGATGTTAACCGCAGTTCAGTTTCATCGCTTACGTTTAAACAATAAAATATTCAAATCGTGATAAACATCGGGTTTGGTGCGTCTTGGTCTAAATAACTGAACGCAGTCAGATTTCAGTGAATTTCGGTGAGTTTTGGCGCTTTGCAGTTTGACATTGTCCACGGAGAAAGTTTGCGTGGCTGCCGCACATTTCCACGCCAGCGGGAAGCTGTGCGTATATATTTACGCAAAACTTTGACGCAAAGTACATTTTTATGCAAACTTGAGCGCAAAATATGGCGCTGCATTGTTTTGTGCGCACGCACGCTTTGTGTGTGAGGCCCCAGGACTTTACATGCACTAAATACAAATAAAGATCTAATTTTGTTCTCACTGTCTGATGTGAAATCAGAATAAACTTTTTTTTCTGTTTGCCAGAATAAAGAGCGAGAAAATTTCTTTAAGGCCATTTTTACACTGTACAAATTGAGAATATTTCAGAATGATCCGTCAGTCAGTAGCTTTTATGAACAAAAGCTGTTGATTAACTTGCACTTTGCCCTTTTCCATATACTGAACACATCAGACATGTGGAAGAAGGTTACACTGGTTAGTTGGGACAAATGTCAAACTTTTTGTCTCACCTGTAAAACACAATATGTTTTGGAAAAAACTATCACCCTGAAACCACCACTCACATAGTGAAACATGGTGGTGGTGGCGGCATAATGTGGGGATGCTTCTTCTTCAGCAGAAAAACAAACAAACAAACTAAATTCAGGCCAATCCAGGAAGAAAATATATTAGAGTCTGAAAAAGATTCACTGTCCAGCTGACAAGTGACCTATAAACATTAAAAATGTTATTTTTAAGAACTAAAAATAGTTGAGAGTCTGTAAGACTTGATTTTCACAGATGCTATTCACCATCTTTCTGTCTGTCTTTATTTTTGCACAGCCTATTTTGTGAAAACCCTCATTTCCCATCAGTTTCGCTGTAATCAATACTTTACAGCGTCACCACATAAAAGCAAAATGAAACACTGACGGTAAAGTAAAATGCAAAACATTTCAGGGAGTCGGAATATGGAAATTGCTTTTTTTTTATGATTCCAGTCTTTGGAAAAGTGAGAATGAGTAACATCTGTACTTCTCTAAAAAGTTAAAGTGAAATTTTATAAATAGTTTTTGGAAATATTTATTGTTCCTGTACCGCATGATCTTGTTAATGAGCCTTTGTTTGCACGGGCTGTAACTCAAACTGCTGCTGCCTGAACGCTGACGTAGAACAGGATGTGACGTCGGTGGTTTCCTAATCTTCTTAGATGAATTAATCTGGCCCATGAAGCCCTGAGCTGCGCGTCTTCAGCCGCAGCGGGTTCAGAAGTGGATTTGGGTGCCTGAGGTGAGACCTGGGAGCCCAACAGGCGCAGGAGTCGGAGCTTCAACAGGTCGCGGGGATCTGAAAGCGGTCGCCTCCCTCCCCGCAGGATGCTGCTGCCGCTGCTGCTGCCTCCGCGGATGCTGCGGGGCGCTGCGGCGAGACAGGTCGCTCCGAGGCGCGCGTGCAGCTCAGCGGCGCATGCGCAGGTAAGGTCCGCTCTCCTGCACTGCGCAAAGATGAGCGAAAAAAAAAAAGGTCTCTTTTGACTGTTTGGACTTTATTCTGCACAGCGGATGATTCTAAGGCGCAATTATTAAAAGTGTTGTTGCAAACTTTAATATGATTGTTTCCACTTTGTAAGAAAATCATAAAGTTTTTTATTACTGGAGTTTTGTGTCGCACGTTTTGAAAAAGCTTTTCTGTGCATAAACAAAAAGGTTTCTGAGACGAATATAAAAAGTCTGTTTCATTTTTTAGAAAGCAAAATGAAATCAAGACCAAATCGAAAAGGCTCATGTGAAGCAAAATGTTGCTGTTGTACGTTTCAGAATCCAGTTATTAAACATGTTAATGATTCTATTTGTTTAGTTTTCTTTTTTAATAAACCTTTTGTCAGTTTATTTGCAACTGGTGTAAACAAAAATCTAAGTAGTATAATCCTGCTGAGCAGTTAACTTGGTAAAGTGCCACTGCACAAACCAGTTGAATATTTCAAAACAAGGATCAAATAAGGAGAAAGACTGCAGCTTATCGGTCAAACAGCAGCAACTCCACTCTCTCAATCCATATATAGCATACAGTGAAAAAAAAAAATCAGTTTATTGATGTTTTTTTTATGAGTAAAGGTTAAGTTCCAGTCTATCTCCCATTGTGCCACAATCAAATTCAAACAATGCACAGCTAAATTACTTCAATAGTCACAAAGTTCAACCAGATGCTATGCAACATTAAATCTACTGGAAAAGACAGAAGAAAAAAAAACACACAAAGCATCAGTTCAGCTGTTGTTTGTGGGGAAAATGTCTGAAAACATAACAGTGGTGGCAGCAGCTTTCTTTTTCTTTTTTGCTCTGGCATCCTGGAGCACATTCAAGGCAAAATAGTGACACTGACCTGTTATTCTTGTATCAGTGCTTGAAGATTGCTACAGTTTTGTCTGCTTTTGTCTGACTTGCTTTTTAAAAGATTAATTCCAGCTCCTTGATGGCGTGGGGTCGAGAAGATAACCTGACAACCAGCCCAAAATGTAAATGTTCTGTTGAGCCACATAGTTAACACTTTGACCTTATGACCGGCTCTCTGCAGACCAATCCTGGCCCCTCCTGCTGAGTGTCCGACTGGTTTTGAAGTTTTTCTTGGACAATAGAGGCTTATTTGTTTCCCTTCTCGAGCCTGGAGAGCAGAAACACGTTCATCAAGCTCTGCCCTGGTGGCAATGTGATCCCTGGATCCATTCATTCATCCTGGATGTCTTGTTTTTAAAAGACGTCCAGGTCCCTGCTGGACCTTTTGGGACACTAAATGTTTCTCATAGCAGTTGAAGCTCCGCATGAAGTTCTTGATGATTCAATAAATGAATTTTTGGTGCAGTGTTGCCAGCAACAATATCCTTAGCTATGAAGCTATTTTGATGCCAGTTTGTGTTTCCTTTACCAAAGAGCAACTTCAAGCACAATGTTCTTTCTGCACCAATTGTAGCTTGGAGTGGTAAAGGTTAAAGTTTATGTTGTAAAATGACCTGAGTACATATACAGTTCTTGTAGCTTAGACATTGGTAGCTCTCTTTCTGTCTTTTTCACAGATGAAACCCAAAAAGACAAAGTTTGGTCCTCTGAGTGATCAGGACCGGATATTTACTAACCTTTACGGCCGGCATGATTGGAGGTTCGCAAACATTCGTGCTCAGCTCATCCTCAGTCGCACACAGAACCAAAACACAGTACAAAATATGTTGATTTCAATTTGTTTTTATTCGTTTCAGGCTCGAAGGAGCACTCAAAAGAGGAGACTGGTATAAGACCAAAGAGATAATCCTGAAAGGACCCGAGTGGATCCTGAACGAGGTGAAGGTCTCTGGTCTCAGAGGCAGAGGGGGTGCAGGATTCCCCACCGGGATGAAGTGGAGCTTCATGAACAAACCCAGTGACGGCAGGTATAAAGGACATCTTTCACCACGTACAACCTTAATGCCCACCCCAACATTCAAGCGCATTTCCTTCTTTCCCCTTTCCCCAGGCCCAAGTACCTGGTAGTGAATGCAGACGAGGGGGAACCTGGGACGTGTAAAGACCGAGAGATCCTGCGTCACGACCCCCACAAGCTCATCGAGGGCTGCCTTGTTGCTGGAAGAGCCATGGGGGCTCAGGCGGCGTACATCTATATCAGAGGAGAGTTTTACAACGAGTCATCAAATCTGCAGGTAGGAATACAAACACTTGATTAAAAAACCTGGGAAAAATTACAATTGTTCCTATTTTCACTAGAGAATCATAACCGAATGCAAAAAGAAGAATGCAGGAGGGAATTTTTAGGAAATGGCACTTAAACACCAACAAGCTGGTGGTTTGGTTACTCTGTGTCTTGCTCCCGTTTCTTCTTTTTGCATTGTGAGCCTCTACTTATTGATCCACCAGCACAAAATTAAAAACCTTTAACCTCTCGCCCGGCCCTTAGATTTTAAAGAAAGGTCACAGCGTTACCTTTCTTTTTCTTTTAAAAAGGTGGCTATTAATGAGGCATACAAGGCCAGGCTGATTGGGAAGAATGCCTGTGGCTCAGGGTATAACTTTGATGTGTTTGTGATGCGCGGGGCCGGCGCTTACATCTGCGGAGAGGAGACGGCGCTCATCGAGTCTCTTGAGGGCAAGCAAGGCAAACCTCGTCTAAAGCCGCCTTTCCCTGCAGACATAGGTGAGGCGAATGCTCCACGGCCTCTAATCACGTCCATTAATGACTGAAGAAACAGCAAACTGGGTATAATTAGAAAACTGTAGCCGCTACATCTCTGTGTTTCACATTAAGGAGTCTTTGGATGCCCAACAACAGTGGCCAACGTGGAGACCATTGCTGTGGCGCCTGCGATCTGTCGCCGTGGCGGAGCTTGGTTTGCCAGCTTTGGGAGGGAGAGGAACTCTGGGACGAAGCTGTTCAACATCTCGGGTCACGTCAACTTCCCTTGCACCGTGGAGGAAGAGATGTCGATTCCTTTGAGAGAGCTCATCGAGAGACACGCAGGTGTGTGTTCAGTTCAGACCTGTCGGCGTCTAATTTACTGCGCTTCAGAATGATTTTTGTGCTTGATGCAGGGGGAGTGAGGGGAGGCTGGGGCAATCTATTAGGAGTGATCCCAGGAGGGTCCTCCACTCCCATCATCCCTCAGCATGTATGCAGCGACGTCCTGATGGATTTTGATGATCTGGTCCGCGCGCAGACGGCTCTGGGAACTGCAGCGGTTATAGTCATGGACAAATCGGTAAACAGACTGAATGATCTCACACTGAACACTCTGTTAGTGCTAACAGAGAGTCCGATTCGTTTCTTTTTTTACTTCTTGCAGACAGACGTGATTCGAGCTGTTGCACGTTTGGTTGAGTTTTATAAGCACGAGAGTTGTGGCCAGTGCACCCCCTGCAGGGAAGGTAAGGAACTGCAATTTGATGCTGAGTTTTTTTGTCATGAGGATTTAGCTCAACGCAGCGATGTTAAAGATTATGATTTTCCCCAAATGAAAAGCACTAAACTTTTTTTTTTTTTGCTTTCAATTTAATTTGATACTTGATGAAACAAACATCCAGTGACTTCTACCCAAAACCAGGCTTGGGAAACTCAAATGTGTGCCGTTAATCTTTCAAGGAACAACTTATGCAGGAACAGAACAATGCAAAACATCATTTTGATTTGTATAGAGCTTTGATTTCGAGTATTTCTCAGTGATTTGCTTTCACTGCTCTCCTTCAGGAGTGGACTGGATGGACAAAATGATGTGGCGGTTTGTGCGAGGAGACGCAGCCGTGTCAGAAATTGACATGATCTGGGAGCTCAGCAAACAGATCGAGGGTCACACTATATGTGCCCTGGGAGACGGAGCCGCTTGGCCTGTTCAGGTGATGCATCGAGTGCTCACAATTAGATCAATTCAACGTGGGACAAATTAACTTTTCGTTATTGAATCCCCACATCTGTAGGGTCTAATACGCCACTTTCGGACGGACATGGAAAACCGCATTGCTCAGCATAAAGAGAAAAATCCTCCAAGGAAGCAGGAGATTGAGATGATCTGAACTGGGAAGTTTCCTGCATTTTATCCAACACAATAATACAACAAATCTAAGTTATACATTATTTTGGAAGCTAAAAGCTTTAGGAAACTATTGAATTCAGCCATTTTCTGAAACATATGACATTTAGTTCCTTATCTGTTTATTGAAATCCAATAAACACAGACTCAATCACCCCAATAAATTAGGTTTATTTCATAAAAGGATGACATTTTGTAGGTTTACCACATGTAACTCCTGTATGACCTGTACAAAAGAGGAATTAGGAAAGAAAACCAACAAATAGGGAGAGACAAAAAAGGGATAAACAGTAGGAAAAAATATTCTAAAATAAAAATGGTCATTGATGTATAACATCAAACTGATTTTTTTTTTTTTGCTTTAGACCTTTTTTTTTAAATTTGCTGCTGTTTTGATTGAATTCAAAGTAAAATGTGAGGCAGACCGCCGCTCATCTGAGCCTCTATACATCCAAAAAGAAAAGGAAGTCGTGCAAATGTTCATCTTCAACCTATAATGTATACAAAACATTAGTACATCCACTTGTTTCCAAGAGCTGAATTAATTGTTCAAACTAGAGACGCAGCTGTCAAGAAGCCGTCCTCCATCAGAAAGATAAGCGGTGAGAAAAAAATGAGGTCCTGTAGGATTGAAGAAAGCACTGAGACATTTCAGTGTCATGGCGCCATCCAGAAAGGAATGGACTGCTGCTGTGGCTGCGTTTTGGCACGAGTCGGCAGAGGCGGAGGGCCGCGGTAGCCCTGAGCCCAGCTTGAAGCAGTAGAGGTGGGTGGGTGGTTACCTGCCCCATGGTTACCAAGCCACGAAGCTTTGGACGAAGGGTGGTCTTCCTCTTCGTCAGACGAGTCGCCGGAGTACGCAACTAAACCGGATCTCAGTCTTTTCACTGGCGGCTCTGCAGGAAGGAGGAGAGCAACAACAAGAGACACAAGCAGCGCGCAGTGGAGGAGAGAGGAGGAAACAAAAGCAGATTTCAAAAGTGGCGGGTTAATCATTTCAAACACATTTTGGAGAAACAATAGACAAGTTAATGTTTATGTCAGAAGGGCGGAGGGTGGGGGCGCCCCGTCCGTTCGAGTAGCGGGACGGCACCGGAGGACCCCAGTCAGCGTCCAGCATCGCCACAGAGACACATGGAAGAGAAGAAAAACACAGAGAAAAAGAGAAGAACACAAAAACAGGAGAGGTTCTTGTTAGCAAGGACAGAAGAAAAACTACAAACAGTCCAGACTGATGATGTCATCAGAACGCAACACTACGGTTGCATTAGTTTTAAACAAATGACTCACAAACGCTTAAAAGTAGAGCATTTGTCATTACTGATCAGTGTGTCTGAGTCCTAAACAAAGTCGGTAAAACCCTTTGCCATATTTAACCCCTCTGCATGTACACTAGTGACAGCTTTACTGAAAAGACCAGTTTAATAAATGACTCAGTTTCTAAAATAAAATAAGGGATTTTTTTCAACTGATATTTTTTAAAATCACGTTTAAAGGATTCATTTGAACCCAAAATGCTGAGCTTTTTAGTAGTCAGTGAATGCACCACACTTGAGTGCTGTGAAGTTAATCTGGCACTTTTACTGAATCAATAGTACTCAAAGTTAGCTGGTGTAGCTGTCAGGGGAAGCACAATAAGAAGCCATTATTTCCAATAATGTGTGACATCATTCAGGTTGCAGGAGAGCGAGAGACTTCAGCAGATAACAGGAAGGCTAAAAGCTTTTCAGTTCGAACCTTTTTGTTGAGTAACAACATATCTGGAGATTTTGAGTGACATCAGCAAAATCCTTTAAGGAGCAGTTGGTTTCAGGCTGAATGGGCTAAAATTTTTAACAATTTAGCAACAACATGGATTTGTTTGGTTTTTGTGACCCATCAGCTCATCAACGTCCAGCAAAACCACAAACATTTGGACACAAAAGTTTTAGAAAAGGTTACATCATTCTCCTTTTTACCTCTACATAACGGAGGAGAAAAAACAGGACAGATCCTATAAAGTGTTACAGTCCGAGTCCTGGATTTGGACAGGGATTTGTCCATCCACAGGATAACATTCTTACCCACAAAGCCTTGATGTAGTCTCCTCTCCTCCATCTGGTGACTCACTCCGTTCACACGCAGGGATGTTGGTGGAGGCATCATGTGCCGACTGGGAAAAAAACAACATGGCGTTAATAATCTCCACTCTTTGATTTGTGCATATGGAGGACTGATCCTGCCAAAAATCACACTACAAAAATATATTGACTAATTGGGAAATAAAATAGAAAATAGATAGATATATGATAAAACAAATATAAATAAATGTATACATATATTTATTTGAAAATAAATATATTTATTTTGGAAGTAAATAAATAAATGTTATTGATTTATGCCAGGACGCCATTACTTGGGACCTGATTGGTTGAACAGACCAATTAGTAATCTAGAAACGCCTGCCTCTTAACAATGCATTCGTTAGAAAAAATTTTTATATAAATGAATTACTGAATAGTGTGATAATCAGTAAATAAAAAATGATTAGAACATGTACAACTCTGGAAAAAATTAAGAGACCATGTAAAATGATATATTTCTTTGTAAAATGAATTGTTCTTTTATTCTATGCAAAAATGTTGTATTCATTTACAGAAAAGGAGAAATGGTCAAATTAACAAAAGATGCAGTGCTTTCAGACCTCAGATAATGCAAAGAAAACAAATTAATATTCACTTGGAAACAACAATATTAATGTTTTAACTCGGGAAGAGTTCAGAAATCAATATTTGGTGGACAAACCAGGAGGTTTCAATAGGGTTCAGAGCAGTTGGCTCTTATTTTTTACTTATATATTAAATTATTTATTTCTTCATTTGTTTATTTATTGTTTATTTTAGAAGAATCAAACTTCTGAATGTGTACACATTAAAACATAACAAGTAATGAGTACCTGTTCCTCTCACTCGCCGGGCCAGAGGAACTCTGCTGTGCGGGTCCTGAAGTCTCTGTGCTGCCCACTGAGAAGCCTGCACCTAAATTAGTCATATGAATGGGTCCATGCTATGAGCAGAAAAACACACAGTCACGATTAGCAGACATCCACTAAGCCCTGTCCTGACACTTCATCACTTCACCTATCAGGAGATTTCCCAGAGCCTGTTTATTGGTTTTATTTGAACTGATACCTTTGTCTGAAAATCCATACAGTAGAAATTGATGAATAACACTGGAAATGAAGTAAACAGCATGCAATATCATTTATATCAAGCTACATGAAAGCATCAAAAGGAAGAAAGAATAAAGTAAAAGATTTTACAGATGGAAAGAGGAGCAAGGGAGAGAAGTGGTAAAATCGATGAGATGTAGTAAAAGTTTTCTGTTACCTGGTACCCGAGCAGGCCGCTGTCCCTCTCGTCCGGTACTTCCTCTGTGAAGCGTCTCTTCTGAGGCGGGTTGATCTGGGCGGCTTGGAGCGGCAGCTTGGGAGGCGCCGCAGCAGGAGGAGCGAAATGTAGAGGAGGAAGAGTCTGCAGAGAGGAGGAAAACAAATCCACTGAGCAAAACAACAACAAGCCAGTCCTACATACATCAAACCACTTCATGATCTGGTTTCAGTAAGTCTAAGTTAGAACTGATGATTCTGATAAAGATGTTGGATGAGGTGGTATTTACAACCTTTTACGACCTTTTAAGAATTAGTCATTAATTGTTTGCATCCCTAGGACATGGGCTTCTCTCTGCTGGTTTGAAAGAGACTCAAGAACCTGCAGTTTAAATGTGCTCCTACCTGATGCAGAGAGTCTGGAGCTGAAGTGGGAATGGGAGCCATAATGGGAGCAGGGACAGGCGCCAGAGTAGGAGCAGGGATGGAAACAGCAACAGGAACAGGAATGGGCGCAGGAAGAGGGGCGGATCTTTGCCGTATGGGGTACTGAGATGGCACACCGGCAGGCATGACTGGAGGTACAGGAGGTGGGACCGTATAGGTAGGTGGGACAGGTTGGGGCTGCGGCGGTGGGGCAGGCACGCTGTAGCTCGGCTGGAATCCAGCTGGAGGATAGTAAGGCGGCTGAGGGGGAATCCCATTCACTACTGGAGGCTGTGAAAACCCTGGTAGAGGAAGAGGAGACGAACACACCCAGTCAACAGCTTTGACATGATGCACCGACGATGCTACAGGTGTTAGATTCATGAGCAAACAGTAAATTGGCTTCACAACATAAATACTGAGTTGAATTGACATTTACAGCAGACCAATACGAATGACTAACGAAATGAAAGTAACATGTTCCAAATTTGAGTTTTTACGGTGCGCAGAAAAGCTAGAATACCTTGTTGCGTTGGCATCATTGTGTTCATTTGACTAAGGTAGCGGGAGTACTCTGCATGAACCTGCAAGGAAAAAATTGCTTTTAGATTCAACCAACTGGCATAGCAGCAACTCACACTTCCTCTAAACCTCTACATTCATGTTGTGTTTTGCAGAAGGCTGTGCTTGCAGAAAATACCTGTGGTTTTAGGCAGAGGAAAGAAAATGCTTCTGTAAATGATGTGTGCAAATTATAATCTCAGTGGAAGATCTGCAGAAGCCACAAGACCTTTTCTTTGTTTTAAAAAACTTTGTAAGAAACCCTCCAACAGTAGCCATAAATAATAACTTAAAACAGTGTTTGAAATGTCTGTGTGGCTATTCAGAGGTGAACTGAGGTTGATGATATTTGATAAATCCACAGATCTAATGCTTAGCAATATATTTTTTATTGCTTATAGTTCTTGACTAGGTCTGCCGGGTAATGATTGTCATGTTAGAAATATCGCTTCGGAGAACTTTCATGTCATATTTGGCTTGGCGACGCCTCCTACACAGAGGTAAGAACAAATGTTCGCTTTAGGAAATACAACGCTACGATTTTTAGGCCCCATTTTCACTTAAAAGTATAAACTTGACCTTCTGATGTCACAAACTAGAATAGTGCGTTGCACACGACGATCGTAAGAAACATCAAAATTTCAGTGAATTGCCCCTTTACCAGTTTGTGAAAATTCACTTTAAGGTAATTTTAGGATTTATTTGTAACTCTTTACCAGTTTTTGACTGTGAAACTTGAAGAACTAGACCCATCCATTCAAACATTCTGGTACATTCATGTAACCAGACGCTCCTATTAATTCACTGAATTCACCCAGTCAAAGGGCCCT